ATTTGAGCATTTATCAAGCCACGCATATGGCACACTGTTTCCCGGTTGGACACGGATAGATCCTGCAACAGTGCACAGCAAGTTCAATTTTGTTTTCATTGAGCAAACAGTGACAGAGGTACTGATATACTGTGGGTAGCTGATGTGCTTCTTGTTTTGTTTGTGTTGAGGCATGGGGGGAGTGTGGTGTATCAATGACACTTGAACAATGACACCCAAAAATGCAACACATGTATGCAATAAACAAAAATGCTGTAATTTGTTTTGATAATTATGAAGAAATGGCAAGTGTACTTATTTAATCAAATGTTACATTTTGAAGTACACTGACAGAAAAAGCATTTTCTCATAGAAGAAATTGTAATAATGTGTTATTTACTAAATATATTAGTAAAACATACTTATAAAAATGTACAGTGTGTAATTCCTCATATGTGACGTCTTTGTTTTTAATTCTTGGATTAAAAGAAAAGAATTTGTAGGAGATAATTGTGTGTACATTTAGTCAAAACATTTCCAGATGGTATAACAGTCAAAAATAATCATAAAGAAAATGTTAATATTTGAAAAATCCCATTAACAACATGTGGGCAGCCATTTTGTGGTCATGTGACAAGAATATTTAAGTATTTTTATCAAAAAGTTAAGTTCTACTCAGGTCAAATATCTAAAGCTTTCCTAATAAACAATGTCAAATTGATCAATACAATATCAAAATAAACATTTTTGAGGGACAATAATGTGTGTTTGTATACACTGCATGTATGTAAAGTACAGAAACATCAATTTCTTATGTTTATATGTGGGTCAGTGACAAAACAGGTTTGGCAAGATGGGAAATTTAAAAATCTTTTACAAAGTTGATTTAAAAGCATCCGTCAGATATTTTAAAATGTACAGATTGTATTCATGTTGATTTTATGTAATTAAAAATAACATTTACACCATTTTTTACAAACATTAGGACTGAATGCAACTGAAAATGTCAAATGGTGTAACTGCCAAAAATTGTGAAATATTAAATAATTTACTTCTCCTAGATGATATGCAAGTGTACACACTGAAATAAATACTTCATTTTAAAATACTACAATAACATTTATTTTATTCACATTATCTCTAAATGTACATTTTAATGAGTTTTTGCAATATTCGGCCGGACACATGCTAAAAACACATCTGATTTCTAAATAATCTTTGACAAATTATGTAAAAAATGTTAAAAACTATTTTATTACACTAAACTGGGTGTTTTAATTTTAATTTCACATTATTTCCATGTACATAATTATATTTTTATGTAAAATACTGGTTACACCAATTGACAAAAACCAGTTACACCACCTGACAGTGTTGCTTCTACAGCCAAAGATTTTGAAATTGACAATTAAAATCAATTCAAATTAAGAATGATAGTCAACAATTTCAGCTGAAGTGATTTAATTTGTTTTAAATGTTAACCAAAATGTCTGGCAACAAGAAATCATCATGGCGCATGAACGGTGTATCCATGTCTCATATTGTAATGACAGTTGAGGAACAATATCTGAGGGGGGTGGGATTGTCATTGACAAATGTGTTTAGAACAATGAAACCAAGTTGCTGAACTTTAATACACCAAGTAATAACATCCTTTACATTAAATGTGTGGCCCTCATCAGTAGAATATTAACAAACTAAAGAAACATGTTTAACATTTAACACCTTTTCCATCACTGTTTCTTTTCAGTTGGCTTAAGTAAAATAAAAATAAGTAGATGATATTAGAAAAAAAAAAAACACTATTTTACTTCTAAGCTATTTAGAAACAATTTGCCAAACACTGTACGTAAAACACTAGTACGCAAGAACTGCTGCTTACTCGTTGTTGCCTTGGTGCTGGGATTAAAGGCCAATTTTTGCAAGCATACACGACTGACTGACAACAAATCATTTCATGAGTGTATACACAACTTATCCACAAACTATTTATTTTATACAGTTAACGTCAGAATTATGCAGAATTATTATTAGTCCCCCTGAGCTATTAGCTCCCCTGTTATTTTTTCCCCAATTTCGGTTTAACAGAGAGAAGATTTTTTTCAACACATTTTTTCAACACCTAATAGTTTTAACAACTGGTTTCTAATAACTGATTTATTTTCTCTTTGCCATGATGACAGTAAATAATATTAGACTAGATATTCTTCAAGACACTTCTATACAGCTTAAAGTAACATTTAAAGGCTTAATTAGGTTAACTAGGCAGGTTAGAGTAATTAGATAAGTTATTGTATATCCATGGTTTGTTCTGTAGACTATCAGGGGGAAAAAGCTTAAAAGGGCCAATAATTTTTACCTTAAAATGGCTTTTAAAAATTGCTTTTATTCTAGCCGAAATAAAACAAATAAGACTTTCTCCAGAAGAAAAAAATATTATCAGACATGCTGTAAAAAAACAAAAACAAAACTGATTTCAACTGTGAATAAATTCATTTGTTTAGCAACTTCTGACTTGTTCTTCACAACTTTTCATCATTAAAGTTCCTCCGAGTCACCTCCAGTTGTTAATAATAATAGTACAACAGCGAGCGCATCAAGGATGAAAACCTCCAAAACTTAAGGCTGTGTGCACTCAGTCTATAGAGGCTTGTCAACCTTGTTTCATTTCCCATGTTAATTTTTTCTTGTATTTAAAAAAGAAATTCCCAAGTGCTCTTTAACAGAGAGAATATTATTGTCAACACATTTCTAAACAAAATAGTTTAAATGACTAAATTCTAATAACTGATTTCTTCCGTAGTCTTTGCCATGATGACAGCACATAATATTTGACTAGATAATTTGTAAGACATTAGTATTCAGCCTAAAGTGACATTTAAAAATGTAATTAGGTTAATTACGTTAATAAGATCTATTGGCCAAGTCATTGGGTAACTGTAGTTTGTTCTGTATTTAAGAAGGCTAACAATATTGACCTTAAAATCTGTTTAAACATTTTAAAAACTGCTTTTATTCTATCCAAACTAAAAGAAATAAGACTTTCTCAAGAAGAAAAAAAAATACATACAGCATTTCAAAGGAGGGTGATACAGTGGCTAATATGGTTAGCACAGTTGTCTCACAGCAAGAAGGTTGCTGGTTTGAGTCCCAAATGGACCAGGATGGCTTACTGTGTGGAGTTGACATGGGTTTCCTCTGGGATCTCCAGTTTCCCCCACAGTCTAAAGACTTGCGGTATAGGTGAATTAGAAAAACTAAATTGACTGTAGTGTATGAATATGTGTGTGAATGATAGTGTGTGTACATTATATTGTGTGAATATAAACATGGATTAACATAAAAAAAAAACATTCATGTTGTGCAGTAAAATAACTTTATCCTAGGTTTACAGAGCTTTAATAGTAAGGTTGTGGATTAAGCACCTATTTCTCAAACAAAAATAAATAAATAATCTACACTATGAACACAAATAGTTCCAAATAGTAGTCTAATTTATGTCGCATTTTTGATCAGCATCATGAACTTATGATATTTGACTAAATTGACCCCCAACAGAAAGACTCCTGCTATATGAGTCAAATGGTGTAACCAGTTACACCCCTTGACATTTCAACTTAAAATGAAATTTGACAGGCATTATCAATATCATCTATGTAAGCACATGGGCTTGGTGGGAATATTTCAAATTTAACTTTTAAATATAATACTTATTTTTATAATATTGAACAATTATCAGTGCATTTCTGGGGTCTTACCATTTGACATGCATATCTAAGAATAGCTGACCATACCTTAAAAAGGTAAAAGTATCTCATATTTTAAAAAGAGTTACTAACCTTTGCATGCAGCAATTAGTCTTATCAAGAGTTCTTCTCTGTGATCCAATTTCCTGTCTAACTCTCTTGTGCACAATATTAACAAAATGGCTCAATAAATGGTGGTTACACCATCTTGACATTTCAGAAATTTGAGGTGACAGACAAAATTCCCCAAATGAATTATAATATTTAAAACAATTGTGCTATATTTACCTTTATTTACTATTAAATATGTCTAATGTAAAATTATGCCAGACTAGCCGATACAATGTTTCATTGAGGCTTTCACATTTTTTAAACAAGGTAAACTATTTGGTACCAATTTTTTTTGGTTACACCACATTGACATTCTTGCAATAATCCCCTAAAAATTTTCTTAAAATGGATTAAAACCAAAAAATTTAACTTGGTCCTCAAAATAGAGAATATATGCAAGTAATATGCTTATTTATTTTGAAACTGTAACCTACTTGAATTTATTTAAAAGACATGGACACAAAAAAATGAGCGTCACGTCATTGACCCATGTATCATATTTTATTCATTTATGCTTTTTATATTATTCTTTATATTTTTATGATTGATTGATTGATTGATTGATTGATTGATTCAAATCCATGTTTTGTCGACATTTTTCAAAAATGAGACAAAACTACACAGCTATAAACAGTACTTTTTTATGACGTTTTCAATTATAATTCTAGAACTAGACTTTTAGTAGGCCAAAGATTTTCATTTTCCCCTTCCATTCATACAAGTCCTGATAAAACATGTTATCAGAGAACCAGTGTGTATGGCTACTTTAGAAGGACATACAAGTACAACATGTACAACAGACATTTAATGGTAAAGAAATGCCTGAATATACAGGCTCCACAGATTGCCATATCAGAAACACAGGGGTACTATTTTATCAACAGGATCCGTTCATTGACAATTTCTGCTAATAATCCATAATAGGCTAAGTTTCTCAAAGGCAGTAATTTGATTTGGTAAAAACAACCATCCGTAGATCTTCACTGACTAAAAAAGAAAAGAAAACGCTAATAATAATGGATAAAAACGTCTTGTAGGCTTAACCCGTATTTTCATTTCATTCCATTTCCACTATTGTAGTGATTGTTGCACCTGCCATTATGGCTCAACCGCAACACCAAAAAGACATCAATGAGCATCTTCAGCGAAGGACACACAACTTACCCTTAAAGTGGAGAGGTCTATTTCATCCAGACTCCGAGCCGGGGAATCGCTCGCCATATTAAAGACGAAAAAACCGGAGTTAGACGGAGAAACAAAGAAATGTTGTTGAATAGACCTCTCAGTCAGTCGTCCGCTGGTCTCCCGCAGCAGCGCGTTCAAATCTCCTCTCTCCGCTCGCTCTTGCTTCTGGTACAATCCCTCTTTTAACAGTGAATTCCACCGATGCTTTCGCTAGACCTCAGTTAGATTTTCACCCTGGCGACAAAAAACACCGTGCGCTCTGAGGACTGCATGTTATTTTCAGCAGGAGCTGCCCATCTTACACTCTCTCACACTGTAGCTGAAATCTCAATGCCGCTTGGCTTGAGAGCAGCATCAATCAGACGTGTGGGAGTGGCCAGCAAAATGGGCGGAGCTGGTGTCACTGGTACCGCCCACTTGATGGTTCCACGGTAGAGCTGAAACTGCTGCAAAGGATCTTGCCAACATTCCTTTACTTACACGTCTGTTTCCCTGACTGAGCTTTTCTTTGTAATTTCTTTCATGTTCCGTTTAAACCGTTTAAAAATAAATGTGCTTTATTGGCTTTGATGATAGCATGAAGAGCCATTAACAACCATAGAACAAAAAGGAAAGAGTTTTTCAGGTTTTTAAAATGTTCTTAACACTTTGAAGAAAAAAAATATTATAAGCATAGCTACAAATTATTATATATTAATTATTATTTTCTCTAAACTTGTAAAATAGGCACATTATAGACCAATATTTTAATATTTTACTACTGTGTGTCCCTGTGTGTGTATACTTATGTATAGAGGAATTTGAAGATTTACATATACATTTATTGATTGATTGATTTATTTATTTATTTGCGTATGTTATTTATTTATTGTTGTATTTATGCATGAATTTGTGTACTTATCTATTTATTTGCGTATTTATTTATTTATTGTTTTATTTATGCAAGAGTTTAGGTATTTATTTATTTATTCATTTATTTGAATATTTGCATATTTATTTATTTATTTGTTGTTTATTTGTGCAGGAATTTGTGGATTTATTTATTCATGCATTTATTTATTTGCTTGCTTATTTATCTATTTATTGTTTTTGCAGGTTTCGTCCTCCATTGATTTCATCAAAAAAAAAAATTTGTTTTACACCAGGTACAAAAAATTGTAAATATTTAGTACATGAAAGACAAAACTATGGAGGATTAAACCTGCAAAAACAATAAACAAATAAATTTAATAAACAAATATATCTAAATAAATAATTAAATAAATCTGTAAATTCCTGCATAAATAAAACAATAAATAAATAAATCTGCAAATAACAAATAAACACATATATAAAATGAACAAATTCCTGCATAAACGAATATATAAATAATTAATAGTGCCCCCCAACCCTGTAAAACCTGCATATTTACTTTTTAAAATATGATTTTTTCATGACAATTTTTTTTAAAAATGTGATATTTTAAGCTTGTCAGCTTTTAAAGTGTACCAAAACAGCCTTATACTTTGTAATTGAAATATAATCCTATGTGATGTAATGTTATTGTTGAATTAAGCCTACTGTGAATATGCTGAATTCCTTTACTGCATTAAAACACCTAAAGGAAATAATATAAAAACTTAAATGTAAATTAAATGAACTTTTCCGCATGAGTTCTGAGGAAAACACCAGCGTCACACCTTTATATTTTATGTTAAGCTGCTCTTTTGTAAGCCATTATTAGAAATTTTATGTGGTTTTTCGTGAGAACACTTAAAAGTATTTAAAAGCTTGTTTACCTGACAGATCAACTGGCTGAGCTCCAAATATAACTGACATCGCTTTAAGGCTTCTGCAGTTCACAACGACTGTTCCTAACTCGTGTAAAAGAAATGAAGACAGTCAGCAGACAACTATTATAATCTGCTTTGATTACCTGCTGTACAAAATAAGTCAGGTAAGTGTTTGATGTTTCTCAGGAACCGTGGTGTTATACAACAATGTTTTTGAGAGAGAGTATATGGGTGGGTATTTCCCAGAATTGAGGGTTGTACTCTAAGAGTTGTGGCTGAAAGGTCATGCCGATACTTTTCCAACTGCAACCCAGTACTACGAAACACCCATACACTCTCATCCACACATACATATGGCCAATTTAATTTATTGAATTCACCTATAGGGCATGTCTTTGGACTGTGGGGGAAATCGGATCACCCAGGGAAAACCCATGTCAGCATGGGGAGAACCTGCAAACTCCACACAAAAAGGCCTACTGACTTAGCCGGGACTCGAATCAGTGACCTTCTTGCTGTGAAGTGACAGTGCTAACCACTGAGCCACGGTGTCGCCCCTTTTTTAAATTTAATAATGTTTTAATTAAATGAATTATTTATTTATTTTTAATTCTATATGAAAGCATAGGTGTTTGGTCTGTTTGCTTTCCTTTACATTTTTTGCTAGTAGGAAGGAATTTTTCATTTCCTTATCTAAGGTAAAGTTTGCTGTGCATTTTAATTACAAGTTTAGCTGCACTTATTTGCAATTAGAGTTTAAACTTTGTGAGTCAGAGGAAAGTAGTTGTGAATTTGGGATCATTATGGAGGCTTTCTTTCAATATGCAAGCTTTAGGCTTTTTTTGTGGAATTAGTGAAGGACATGCACAGTAAATCATGATATATTAAACTGGGTTAGCTGCATGCCCAGGCTCAAGGGAAGTAATCCCAACATCCAGTATTGTACTGAGCACATAACATGAGTTATTTTATTTGTCAGTTTGTTTGGTTTTGTTATTTTTTTTCACTTGCTAGAAGGAATTATTTGTTTCCTTAAATGAGGTAAAGTTGTCTGCATTTTAAGTTTTGCTGCACTTAATTGCAATTAGAAGTTAAACTCTGTGAGTCAGAGGAAAGTACTTGTAAATTAGGGATCATTAAGAAGGGTTGGATGGATTTGCAAGCTGTAGGCTTTTGTTCCAGCTCCGCTCACAAAGCGTGAATTAACTGTGTAAATAATTAGACAGTAATTTAACCTAATTATTGGATTGAAGTATTCTTCTCAAGGAATAATCCACAAATTTATTTATTTTTAATTATCCGCAGAAATAGCAAAAAATGTCTGCAGATTCTGTCTGGCCCTACTAATGGGTTAATGTGGTGCGAATGTCCGCCCACAATTTTTCAACTGAAGTATTTCACCTGAATCATGCATTAAATGCTCGAATTGTATTCATGCTGCCTTATTCTGTCAAATAGCACCACAGATAATCTGATTATATCTATGCATTGATTGAACATGTAAATCACTCGTGATTGCTGCTTCATCTGCATCTAGTTTGAACTAACCATAACAGTTTCTTATAATTACTTCTCACATGTATTGCCTCTTCTTGTTGAATGTCCGAATGCCTCCTCATTTGTAAGGCGCTATGGACAAAAGCGCCTGCTGAAAGACTAAATGTAAATGTAGAGGTTTAAATTTTACATAAATGCTTGTCTGATTTAGTCTAATAAAAAAAAAGTTAATAAATAATTAAAAGAATAGTTTTGCTCGTAATGTTAAAATATTACACTTCTACCACTACAGGTCGATTTTTCTCATTTTATTCAATTGTTGTTTCTATTTTAAGGAACACATAAGAAGCTCATTCCATTAACCTCGTTTTCATTCAAACTGCTGCAGTCTGGCACAGCTGAACGTCTGTGCTTCCTCATGAACTTGACCTATATAATTGTTTAATCTACTTCTTAGCAACTCAAATTTATTTTCACATTCAACATCTCTCAAAACTCCCTGAACACATCTTTTTGTGTATTTGCTTTCCTCTTTTCTTGTTGTAGAGCATAACATCAAAAGACGTCACGTTCATGCTAAAACAACAGGAAAGGAACTGTGATAAATCATCTGTCAAAACATATTTTACTAAAGTTAAACAATAAAATGTGTTTAGATTGGCTACTACAGCATGTTGGTTGGCTTGAAGGCAAGACAATGCAGGCAAAAACAGCTTTTCCATATGTAACATTTTTCAATGAGGTTAGTTATTGTCAGTTAATGTATTTAGTAAAATGAACAAACAAAAAAAAATACATTCATTACAGTATTTGTTCATTGTAGTTAAAGTTAGTTTAAAGTACTGTTTTTGGTTCTTTTTTGGCTAACTCCCAGTGAATTAGTGTTAACAAGCCTAAGATTCTAACAACACAAGTAAATGTTGAACAATAAATGCTGTATTGTTCATTCTAAGTTCATGTTACATACTGTAACTAAAGTTTTTTGCCATACAATGTTTCTTTTATTTTGTATTATTTGAACAAGATAAAACATGCCGTAGACCAGCGGTGTACAAACGGTCGGTCCTGGAGGCCGGTGTCCTGCGTAGTTTAGCTCCAACTTCCTTCAACACACCTCCCTGGAAGTTTCTAGTATACCTAGAAAGAGCTTGATTAACTGGTTCAGGTGTGTTTAATTGGGGTTGAAATTAAAATATGCAGGACACCGGCCCTCCAGGACTGAGTTTGAACACCCCTGTCGTGGGAACAATAAAAAGGAAAAACTGAAGAATAAATGACAAAGATATAATAAAACAAATAAAATTAATAAATAAATAAGTAAATAAATATATATACATACACATACAAACACATACATATACATAAAACAAATTTCCAAACCAAAACAGGCAATAAACCAAGTCTGTATTTAAGATTAAGGGTAAAATTAAAACAGTTAAAAAAAATAAATAAAAGAATAGTAATAGACAAATAGTTTAAGGCAGGGGTGTCAAACTCAGTTCCAAAAGGGCCGCAGCTCTGCACAGTTTAGTTCCAACCCTAATTAAACACACCTGATCAAACTAATTGAGTCCTTCAGGCTTGTTTGAAACCTACAGGTAAGTGTGTTGGAGCAGGGTTGGAACTAAACTGTGCAGGGCTTCGGCCCTCCAGGAATTGAGTTTGACACCCCTGGTTTAAGGTATTCAAAACCGTGCTGAAAGAAAAGTTATTAGAAGCGCAAACAAGTAATCTTAAACAATTACTATGAAGAAAAAAACAAATTAAAATAATAATGAGGGGAAAATAAAGTAATTCATTTTCTTTTCAGCTAAGTCCCTTTATTAATCTAGGGTCGCCACAGTGGAATGAACCGCCAACTTATCCAGCATTTGTTTTTACGCAGCAGATGCCCTTCCAGCCAAAACCTTTCACACATACACTACGGAAAATTTTAGCTTACCCAATTCACCTGTACCACATTTCTTTGGACTTTGGAAAACCGAAGTATCCGGAGGAAACCCACGCAAACAGGGGGAGAACATGCAAACTCCACACAGAAATGCCAACTGAAATGAAAATGAATGAATGAATGAATAT